AAGTGTTTCCTGCGAAAGATGACGCGTTGTTAACCCTCATAATGGTCAGGAAAAAAATTTCAACTTCAAACGGTAATTAAAACTTTATATAAAAACTTTCATATAAAAAACTACAATGTATAGTTATTTTATGTAGAAAATCTTTTGTTCTCTTTTCTGATAAGATACGAGAGTTATTTGAAAAACAAATTGGTGGTTTCAGTTTAATTAAATATATATTGTATTCGATTACAAATGGCACTTCCAGTAGCCACTATTGCACTTGATTTTTACTGAAATTATCACCGTCACAAAAGCATAATATTTGTCCGCGTATGTGGGACGAAAAGACAGATCACGGCTTAGTGCTGAACATTTAAGTTTTTGCTATTTTTCTCAACGAGAAAATAAATGAGTAGACGATTAATGTCTCAGAACATGAATATTCGTGAACATCTTTATCATTTTATTGTATTTAATAGTTTATAGTTGTTACAAGGTGCTTTCTCATTTTTGTTGTAGTTTTGTAATATAGATTGATGCAGCAAAGATGAAACTAAATTTCTTTAAGATTTAGTGGCGAGTAGTAGAGAAGTCACCAAATTCCGTATGGCGGAATGGAAAGAAAACTGAACACAGCTGTTCTTTGGAGACTACTTTTTTCTTTAATAGGTGATCGATTTTACTTAGGCATGCACTAGTTCTAATTAACTGAAATTGATCGGAGTCAGAGTTAGTTGGAACTGGCAGAATTGGAGTTGAGCAGACCTGAAACTAGAATTGGTTAACTTTTTTCCAGGTGTCAGACAAGATGTATAGTCATTATATTTCCTTGTCGAGAGAGTTAGGAACAATAGTTTAACATAAAAGTGTTTTGAGTACTGATCTTAAGAAACGGTTTGCGTGGCTTTTGAGAAAGCATGATTTTTCGGAAGGTTTTCTGCACATGTCTACATGTCGTAGATCATTACCAATATCAGGTTTCTGTGAGAATGAAATAATTTGAGTCAAAACTGAAGACTTGTAAATGGGGATGAATGATGCTAATCTGATGATATCAATATTGTAGCTCATTTTTTGGACTCATTGCAGGTAGCTCATTTCAATAGAAGATATACTGTTCAATACAGATTAAAACAAGCCGCCTATTCTATAAAGTTCTTTTCCATCAGCCTTTTGTTTATTATCGATATAACATAAATATCTGTGATGTATAAGATGGTAATCAATTTTGGCATGACCAAATAGATAACTTTCTGTTGAATGGTCTGAGTGTGTTAGATGTTTTGTGCGCGCGTATGGGCGTATCTCAAAGCAAGAAACTGGTTTTGATGGTAATATGAAACATTTTTTAACGACAATTATACGGAAATGTGACTCGAATTATCGCATAAAGTTGTTATAATCAACCTTTTTACATACGGTTGATAATGAGTAGTCAACAAAAATATCTGAGCTGCTTAGAAGTATTCAGAATTTAAGAAACAGTGGCGAGTGTATGGTCAACTGGAGTTTACTTTATCGCTAATGCATCGAGATGTTCTGCATTTCCTGCATTACATCAGCCGTATACAAATATTAGTATATATCATAGACTACTTTTGACAAAGCTCCTTTCCAGCTTTCATCATTGTGTTTTTAAAATGCTCTCTTTCTAACTTGGAAGCGAAACTGAAAGATTTTTGATATAACTTTTTATAGATAGCTTTTGTCTGCGTGTTCAAATGTAAAATGACATTATTAACGGTTCTTTTCCTGCTCTATCAGCGTGTGAAAAATTAGTCCAGTCAACATATATTTATTTTACTTTTGGAATCCTTAGCTTTATCATTATGGAATGTCTAGAATATCAGAGAAAATGTCGACAAGACTCAATAAATGAAACACAAGAGCAAGTCTAATCCAGCCAGCACCACTATTTTCGAAAATCCGAGCAAGGCATTTCAAAAGTCCAAATGTGACAGGATCTACTTAGTTTTATCTGCTCCACAAGACTGCAGGCTCAGAAATAGGCGATAGATGGGTCATTCGTTGTATTAAGACATGGCATGTCTTAATACAATGAATGAATCATGTCTTGAAGACATGATTCATCGAAATAACATTCTAATGTTGATGTAAACATGGGTTCAATTTGATAACAACCAAATTGAAAACCTGGTACAGTAAACAGGAGGGTTTCATCAGTATTTGATAAATTGCAGATGCCGGAATTTATTCCCATCACGAGTGATAGGAATAAATTTACATGAACAGATCATTTTTCATGTCTAACTTTTTCTTCCGCAGCGATTGCAAAAGTGTGTATCTACAGTCGAGGAGGACGCAGAGATTTCTATCTCACTTACTTTAATCAGAAAAAGTAGAAACAAAGACTCCAAGTCAATGCAATTTTCACTATGTAGTTTAGATATTTAGCAACAGTATCGCAATTCTTTTCTTCAACCGTTTTGATTGGAAACTAGTCCATTCTATCCTGTTTTACTAATGAAGGCTGAGTGAGAATTCAGATGCAGTGATAGAGAAGAAACTGCAGAAGAACAAATGCCAAATGGGACAGCATTGTTGTTGTTTCAGAAAAAATACAACACAATTATGACGATTTATGACAGTTATGAAGCTATGTCTGAAACATTTATCCCTAGTGAAAAACTTACTCGAATCTTACTAAGATCTTAAAGAAATCTTACTAAGATCGAGACCCGAAAATTCTAAGATTGGATAAGATTTTTCTAAGAGCTTAGACAAATATAAGCGAAATCTTACTAAGATCTTTTAAAGATTTTTTCAAGACTGGATAAGTATCTGTTAGGATCTTAATAGTAAGAACGGCGATTTTCGGGTGTGCCACTAGAGACCTTGACCTGCATGTACATTCTCTAAAAAGTTGTTGAACACTTTCGAGAGAGCAAGTACTAGCAGAGTCTGGAAGAAAAATAATTGTGCTTTTGTTATCCTGGCTATAACGCTCGATTTGACGATTATTTATTCATGCCTGGGAAGTACGAAACAACACTTTTAAAAAAACCTACAGAGGTAGTCTTCATAACCCGCTAGAAGTCAGAACGATACTCAGACAGATCTATCTAGGGTTGTAATATGAGCTGACATTACTTTATTCCTACTCAACTTCTTTCGTATTAACGGAATAATGAGCTGGCGAAAGACGGTCATGATTAAAGGTACCATGAATTTGTACACTTTTGTCAGTCCACCGATTAGTCCGATAGTGGTTGTAATGATGTAGATAATTTTACCACGACTAACGTAGGTTGCAGTGCAAACAGCCGATTGGCATTGATTGAAATAATCGTCGTACGATGTTTCATTATTCCATTCTTCAATCATTAGATGTTGAACAATATCCTGCATCGGTGCGTCTGGCTCATAACGTATTGAAGAATTTAGTCGAGACGAAGCATCGGTATCAGACAAATCTAATGCATCTATTAACTGTTGTAAACAGACATTATCAAAGAAACATCTGAGATTACTCTGAAGTAATGCTTCAACTACGTAGCAACCAACGTAAATACCTTTGTTCAGAGATAACAGAGAAAAAAAAAGATATAATGTTGAAACCAGCTTTTAGAAGAGATGTTTGACACTTTTTCCACTAGAGTGATAAAAGGGCGTCTTCGTTCCAGTGCAAAAATGGAAAATGTGTGTATGTTTTAAAACTTACTTACCAGGTATAGGAAAAAAACTAGTAGTTGTATTTAAATCATAAACAATTGCCCGTTGAATACAATAGGGCGTTTGTTGACAATCACACGTGAAATTGTATTCTTGATCTCTTCGGTCATAAACATATTCATATTCGTCATAAGCAGGCGAATTATATTGTGGGTATCGTGTTAAAATTGAATCCGATGATAGTGCTGATATTAGCATATTTGCGTATGTCATATTATTAACGAGACGAAGTGTATTGACGAATGATCGAGCTGTATTTTGAATAAAATCGAACACTAACTGATTTGATTGGCTTTCAAATTGTTCTTGGGACAACAGATTTGGAGTAATGAGTGTTGTTGAACTGAATGTTAGAAGTTCTGTATTAATTGTTTGACGTGACAGTTCACAAAGTGAGTTGAGCATTTGAAAAAATTGACTTGCACTATGACGGAAATCGTCGACTTTTGTACGAAATGTGGGTCTCAATGTTGAGTCGAATTTAGAAACTGGATAATCGATTTGAAGCCAGGTTGATGTAGTAAGGAAAACACTTGAACAGACTGAGTGTAGTTGTGGATTAAACTGAATAAAATTTTGATATTCCGATGATAGTGTTCTACACGGACATTGAACTGTGTTCGGGTATTGCCGGTAGAGCATATTGAACTGATCAACCGAGGGACTTTTAATTGTAACAGTTTGTGTTACATTTTCAAGTGAAACATTCAGAAGGAGAACGAATAATGAGATAGCTAAGAGTATAAGAAAAACACGCGTTGATATCCGTTGTTCGTGAAGCTGATCGACCGATTGTCTATTTGACTTCTTAAATAGATTCAAGGTAATCACGAAAGTTTTTATTCTTTGTAATAATATCTGTAAGCGATTATGACTCCTGGATCCAGTTGCTGCTACAAATACAAGGTGTTAAACTACATAGTGAAAAGGCCATTGGCTTGGGATTTTTATCTCTATTTTTTCTGATAAAAATAAATCAGATAGAAATCTTTTCGTCACATTCATCTATATCTAGTTAAGATAGTTATTTATTCTATTCATTGGACACCCCAATAATAATGGAGCTCTTGCTCTTTTCCTCGGAGACATTAACTCTCTTTTGATCTATGTTTGATACGATAAATTTCAAAAATAAATATACTTTAAAAATGAATAATCTCTGGCTTCTCCCCGATTTTAGATACATACGTTTGCAGTCGCTGCGGAAAAAATGTTAGACGTGGAAAAAGACTTACCGTTGAGATTTATATCGGTGTTATCAACAGGAACACATCGTTCCTTTCGCCTCAGAAATGCTACAATTGACGGAATAATAATTTGAAGAACAGTTGTTAATCCGCCAATTAATGCAACTGTTATCGTTATTGTATAACCCAGATCACCTTGTTTGTTGTAGGTATAAACACATGATTGTGGATTACACTGCTCGAAATAGGATTCAAATGACGTCTGATTATTCCATTGTTCAACCATTAACTGTTCAATAATATCTTGCATTTTAGTTGTAATCTGAAATCGGCTAGTGTTTGATGACCAGTTCATTGCTGTAGCATTAAATGGATATTGTGATGTGGAATAGATCAGACGATCAATTGTATTAAGACATGATTCATCGAAATAACATTCTAATGTTGATGTAAACATTGATTCAATTTGATAACAACCAGCTTGAAAACCTGGTACAGTAAACAGGAGGGTTGCATCAGTATTTGATGAATTGTAGATGCCGGATGATTTAGCACAAGTGGTAGGAGTAAATTTACATGAACATGTGTTATTATTTACATCAGGATTGAAAACCCATGAATAGTAGACTTGATCCAATGAGTAACTTGTGTTATCAGATAAAGTTGTATAACCATAATTTGTTAATAGACCAGAAAACAGAGCATTACCCGCCAGTGTCTGTCGAGATATTGATAGTAGTTGTAAAAACAAATTCGCTGTAGTCCGTTTGAATAGATTGACAATTTGATCTGTTTGTGTCAGAAATAAATCAGTTTGCTGTACATTTTTCGTGACATACTTGGTAGAATTAAAGACTAATAATTGATTCTCAATAGTTTGCAATGATAGTTGGCAAAATTCTAACAGAATTGAAAAGAATGATTGGCCAAGGACACGGAAATCTCCTGCATTGAGATTGAGTTTTGACTCTAAATAATTTGTCCATTTCGTTGTGACAAAATCACTGGAACATATTTGGTGAAATGTAGGTTGAAACGTAATAAATTGTTGGTATTCATTTGAAATTGATGTACAAGGACAGACGAGTGTTTGTGGATATTCGATTTGTAATTTCCTATAATTTTGAACCGTTGGCTGCCGCACGATCACAGTTTCCGTGACATAAGAAAAGGAAGTGTAGAGTATAAGAATGGATAGAGCTACAGCCATCAGAGAGCTGAATATGCGAGTGGAGAGAATTTGATTTCGTAGATCATGATCAGTTTGCTTCTCAGGATCTTTGAAGAAATTCAGTTTAATAATTAACTGTTTAAGTTTCCGTGCAAATGAACGGAAACGTTGCCTGTAATCAGCAGCTTGTGTTTCTGTACAATAAAATATAGAGACAGAAAATAGAAAAGGTTAGTCCACTCTGTTTAACACTGAGAAGAGCTCTGTTCTGTGCCATTAGAGAAAAAACGTGGTTATACTCATGGACGAACGTGGCCAAACATCTGCAGTTTTCAGAAGTGATCTTTTAAAATATATGCCTTGCTCACCTGTAGCTACACTATCCTGATACCACCAGGCACGATCCACTCGTTTTCGTGTGAATGTAACCAGTCGCAATGTTATCAGCATCAGTATTGTAACAATTCCTCCGATGCAACCAATTGTTGTTGTAATTACATAAATCACATCAAATTGTTTAGCATACGTATACGCACACGACTGTGGATTACATTGATTAAAGTAGGATTCGTAGGAGGGTTCAAACTGCCATTCGTCGACCAATAATCTGTCAACTAAATCACTCATTTTTAAAGGAGACAAAGAAGGAGAAGATGAGATATTGAGCGGTCTAGCATTAAATGGATAGTACAATGAATCATTGAGATATGTGTTTAATTCATTCAAACAGGAACTGTTGTACAGACAGGACAGATCTGATTGTAATACGGCATCAAGAACGAGACAGCCAACATTAACACCTGGTACTCTGAACTGCAGTTGTCCTTGAATCAACATAGCACAAGTTGAATGTTCATGTTCCATAACAGTACCATTACATGTCGGCTCATTGTTAAAATAGATTGTATAGATACCAGTTACTGCTTTACAATAGGAAGAATAAATGCATGTACAATAGGGCGGATACAATCGAGCATGAGAGATATCGTACCAATTGTTTTTATGAAAGAAAGTTAACAGATAATAATTCGTAGCTAACCGGTTGGCAATTGCATTGCCCTGTACAACGGTTTGAACTGAATTCAGCGATGTGACAAAGGATGCTGCTGTTATATCAATAAATTGCTGTTTAGTTGCATTAGCGGTAGCTAAGAAAGTGTCTTCTGAAATTGCACTTTCTGTCAGCAGAGTTGTTGAATAAAATTCAATTAATTGATCGTCGATTGTTTGTGAGACGAGTTTGCAAAGTGTACGTAACATTTGAAAGAATGAATAGGCTGAATGACGAAAATCAAAGATATAATGATATTTAATATCTAGAAATGGACGATAATTAACGTAGTTGAGCCAATCATCACTAACGAAGTCGCTTGAACAGATTTGATTGAATTTTGGTATGAATGAGAGCACGAATTTACTGTATGCATTTAAAATTTGACGACAAGGACAAGTTAATGTATTTGGGTGTTTTAATTCAAGTTCTTTGTAGAGAGTGACAGTCGGCCGTTCAACGATAACAGTTTTTGTAATACTTGTCAAAGAGGAATACACGAGTAAAGCAACGATTGCCAGGAGAAGTAGTGTGAGGAAAATGAACGTGGCTAGAAGTCTATCTTCTTCACTTGCTTCGTCCACATTTCCAAATAAATTTAAAGATCGCACTTTTTGTTTCCAAACTGTTAGACGGGCCATTTCTATGTTTACTAAATACTAGTATTCATGATTGAATAACTCACGTCGAACATACAATACTCTCAAAGTAAACGTAAACATCTCTCTCTTATAATACTAGGTAAGTTCGTTAATTAAGTTCGTATAATTATTGCCACATTTATTTCAATTTGTCTTTGGTACCTCCGTTCTTTCAAAGTGTCTCACTTATACAATATTATGTTTTGATCTATTTTTTACAAAAGGAAATTAGAAAAGAAAAAAGCAGTATAAAAATTATGTTATGAGCTCGTTAGTTTCACAAAAAAGTGCCACTGCCAGCAATGAAAATTATGCTATCAAGGTCAAAAGAAAAGAAAACGAATAGAAAATGAGATTACTGAATTCCATTTTATGTATATAAATTATGAATATTAGAAAAGGAGTTTTTGTATGATGTGTACCATATACCTGGCTAGACAAGATAGAGTTTTCGTTTGATTAAAACATGAATGAAACACAAAATGAACATAAAACGCCTTTTTTCATATTAAAAATCATGTCATTACAACTGCCGATAGCAAGTGTTTGTGATATTTAACACTCATTTACACTTTTTAGACATTCAATTATGATAACGCCAAGGATTTCAAAAGTAAAATAAATGTACGTTGAGTGGACTAATTTTCACATGCTGATAGAGCAGAAAAACAACGGTTAATTAAAACTTTATATAAAAGCTTTCATATAAAAAACTACAATGTATAGTTATTTTATGAAGAAAATATTTTATATAATATATATTATTGCATTTAGTAGTTTGTAGTTGTTAGATGGTGGTTTCTCGTTTTGTTGTAGTTTTGTAATATAGATTAATGCAGCAAAGATGAAACTAAATTTCTTTAAGATTTAGTGGCGAGTAGTAGAGAAGTCACGAAAATCCGTATGACGGAACGGAAAGAAAACTGAACACAGATGTAAAAAGATGAGAATAAAGCTGAAGGAAGGTTTGTTCAGACCGAAAGAGTTAAATTGACAGTTATCACAACTGTAGACGAGTGAGCTGTTCTTTGGAGATTACTTTTTTCTTTAATAGGTGATCGATTTTACTTAGGCATGCACTAGTTCTAATTAACTGAAATTGATCGAATCAGAGTTAGTTGGAACTGGCAGAATTGGAGCTGAGCCAGGGGGTAACCGATATAAAAAATGCGGCAGCGGTTACCGATATACAAACTTCATACCGGTACCGGCCGATATATCGGTCGATACCCGCGTGTCTTGATCGTGCTTTGCCTAAATACAAACACGTTTTCCTTATTTATAGAAATATGTCATAGATGAACTGAATTTACACGATATTTTTCGCCAAGTCGTATCATACCGCAAAATGCCAGTAATGTCGACCGATTGATTATACTTCATGCTAACCCCTCCCCTCCATAATAGAAGACCACTGCCGATGTTATGACTTGAAAGCTAAATAGAAGATCATGGTCTCCTATCTCCTGGAAGATCACTGGTCTTCTATTATATCCGCGAAAAAAATCCGAAAATGTCCTATTAATAAGGGACGGACTTCAAGTACGTGAGGTTACCGTCGGACTACTATCAGGCGATAAAATTTGACCGCAATAGAAGATCACCCTTTAGAACTTGACTTACGAAACAAAATAGAAGACCAGGTGGTCTTCTATTATGGGGAGGAGGGGTTAATGCTGGTATACCGGTGGCCGTTATAATTCATACCAGTACCGGTTGCACCTCTGATTTGAGCAGACCTGGAACTAGAATTACTTGGTTAATTTTTTTCCAGGTGTCAGACAAGATGTAAAGTTATCACTATATTTCCTTGCCGAGAGAGTTAAGAACGATACTTTAACATAAAAATGATTTGAATACTGGTTATTAAATGTCCTGACCAATCAACATGTTCCAGTTCAACCATCCAATTCATCATTGACGGTCATGGTTTCTGATTGTTATAAGCGTCATTGGGTTGCACTTCTTTGAAAACCGTTAAATCTAGATTTGCTAACTTTTCAGAGAATTTTCATTTTCTTAGAGACGGTAACACCCAAAATCGGGTTTAGTTACGACGCTCAGAGAAAAATGATATTAAACACATAGCTTAGGTACGGAAAATTCAAAATTCAAGTGAGCTATGTTTTGGCGATATTCACATATGGTTGGATAGAGCTCGTCGAGGCGAACTAGAATAAGTCTGTTATACCCTTTGAAAAAATGTTTGGAGGAAGGAGATTTTAAAAGAAACTGAAATTTTTAAAAACCTAAAAGCTACGGCCTAATTTTCAATAATAAGCGAAAATCCCAGTTTATATTTCTCTTATAGTTTTACAATAATTTCATTCCTATTCTGCATGAAAAACTGAATCTAAAAACAAAGTTTTGGTGCCATTCAAGTATTATATCATCATGAAAAATGTTGGGTTTTTGCCGATAGCTGAAATACTCGTCCATGCCTGGCAAACCCATCAACTCTTTTTAGTTAAGAGATGAAGCCGATATTTATATGCCCTTATATTCGTCATAACAGAGCAAAAGAAGTTACTTATTACTTTTTTAAAGTGTTATTTTTGGTCAATTTTGGTTTTGCAGCAAAAAATCTCGGTTGAAAGTTCGAAAAAACTCGAAATTGTTCAGAAATGCGGAAACACACATCAGTCAATTCAGTTTCATCTGGTCGACCCATCGCGCCCTTCACTATCAAAGAATTTTGTTCTTTCGCTTTTCTCTGCTTCGCGTCAGCACAGACAATACATATACGTCAACTATTAACCCAGCAAATTTCAGAAGTCTAAATTTTTGCATCCTGCTGATAAAACTGACTAGTCAAAACAGTTACTTCCAGATCACCCGTTACTTTGCTGACCTGCTCTCGTTTATTAAGAATGAATGAGTCTCACGTTTCTTACTATAGGAAATCGTAGCAGGCAAATCATTAATCCCTCTTATGCACTATATTCATTACAACAAACAAAACTAATTTTAGACGTATGCGCAAAAAATGAGAACAAAAATGTTTAATCGACCCTGGCAGGGATCGAACCTGCAATCTCCTGATTCGAAGTCAGACGCCTTATCCGTTAGGCCACAGGGCCACAGTCCTTATATTACAATTTCAGCAGAAAAATCATGTGAATACAGACAAGGTCACATTTATTTAAATAAACCGAAAACGAAAAAATGACAAAACTAACTTGATTCGACTCGAAACCGCTACGAAATGACTTCCTTTGAATCTGATTATGACTTTCTCTTTGGCGTTGACATAATCTAAGTGGTCTTTGCCGCAATCTTATTTTAGAAAAATAAAGGCAAAGGCCACATAGATTATGTCGCGCCAAAAAAGAAGTCATACTTCCTTATCATTCTTAGAGGCAAGGCATAGGATGACTGAGTACGGGACAAACTTCGGTCAAACGTCAGTCTCATATAGTAAGTTGTCTACTACTCCCGAACGAAGAGGAACTGAAATCTTAGGTTTCCAACAAAATGCTATAAGAAACAAAAAAGACCTATGTAATTCTACAGCAAAAGAGAGGAGAAAAAATAATTTTACGAAAGAGAACATGTGAGAACCACCATACAAATAACGACAAAAGCCATATAATTATGTTAACTGTACATCAACGGTTGAAGTCATCAACTTCACTGAAACGGTACCCAATTAACCAGAATCACTTCTGTGTTGGCAGAATATATATATAAAAGCACGTTGAATAGAATGATGTACATCAGTCGTTAATTATTCTTAAACATAAAACACCTCATCTTGTAGAGAATTGTTTTCTCTACAAACCTGTTACTATTGAAAAGATTTTCATTTGAGTTAAACACTAAAAATAAGCAGATTAGTGAGTCATACTCAGAATATTGTTAATGAGCAGAAAAAGCAAATCGATTTAAACGACATGAGATTACTAGTCAGTTTGAATTAAATTACAACGAATACATGCAGTTTTTCCGGCACTATCCAATGGTTTATTTGAAGTCGTGCTTTGATAAGCTCCAGGTGGACCAAACAAATTTTCATGTCGAAATGTATCGAAAGAACAGACCAGAAATATTTTCGGTATTTGATTTACGAAACTGGCGTAACGAACATAATGAAGGTAAGCAACTACATTCAGCTTTTGTACCCTTTTATACTCTTGATGATATAAAGAATATTTTCGTATTTTTTATCACAAAACTTTTCCAATTACTTTGTTGATCAATGGGTTACAAAATTCCCCTATTGGTAAGAAAAGCAAATTAACTTTAAGTTAGTTTGCTTTTCTTACCAATAGGGTTGTTGCTTTGATAGATTTTAATTGAGGTATGGATACATTTATTTTGTCAATATCTTCTTTAGCTATAATTTAATACTATGGCCTCCCTCCCTCGGATCAGAAATCCCTCTGGCCCATTTCGTCTCTCAGAATATAGCTGGAGGGCTCGGGCTGGTTTTAAAATATAAAATGAAATTAGCGTAACGACATAAAGGAGCCGATTTTTTAATTTTTTCTTTGTTTTATTTTCCGAATGATCGCATCTCAAAAGTTCGAAAAAAGCGCAAAAACTGGTGTATAACTTTCAACAATGGAAAACGTGTTTAAAAATGGCAAAATCAATAAAAAAAAGTCTCTCTCAACTTCTTGTGATTATGATAACAGGTTAATAGAACTTTTCAATGGCTACAAAATGGCTGTCTTCTGTTTTATTATATTTCAAAACATAAAGGACCAAAATTGAAAAAACTGTGTTCTGGTCTAGGAAGTAGTCGAGATTGCATATTTGCCATATTTCCTTCATATTCTCTTATTTTTTAAGGAATATAGAAAAATGTTCAGTAGAGTAGGGTGGGGTAATTAGAACAGTATTTTTTTAAATCACCGTATTTTCGTTCCCTCTCAGTTAGCTTAAGAAATCTTTTGGTAGTTCCTTGGCAAGAGTTGTAGAGGAGATATTTTCCTGTCGAATGGTCATTTCCGTTTTTCTAAATTCCATTTCCTTCAGGATCAGGAGCAGATCTGCGGTTGACTGGTTTCGACTGTTCTAATTCCCCGCATGTGAGGAATTAGAACAGTACGTGTAAATGGGTGGGGTAATTAGAACAGTCCGTGCAAAATACACGGGATTTTTTAATAAAAGTAATTTGAATTTTATATTTGTATTTTAAATTATTTTTGCACACATCCTTAGTGTGATATGTAGAGGGTATTCAGCTCTATCGCCTGATATGGATTAGATCGGAAACGGACAATGTTTGATGGAGCTGGCTCTATTCAAAAAGCGACTGGTAAAATTTTTTTGTGTTCCAATTCCCCGCATGTGGGGAATTAGAACAGTGCGTGTAAATGGGTGGGGTAATTAGAACAGTCCGTGCAAAACACACGGGATTTACCTATAAAAATGTTTCTCATTTTCTATTCGTATTTTAAGTTATAATTAGATGATTCCTTAGCATAAATTATGCACAATTATCTCCTCTATCGATTGAGACTATTCATTTATGATGTTCTAAAAAAGTTTACGTGAGATGAGCACATTACTGGTCTATTATTACAAGATCACTAACAAAAGTAAACACAATTTGACATGCAATTAAGCAAATATCTAAATAGTTCTTTATCCAAACTTTTACCACCATATTTATCATAATATTTTGTTAATAAATTTTTCCAAGAACGTTTAATTGTGCCAAGAAATGAGGAGTCTAATGGCTGAAGTGCGTGTGTGCTGTGTGAGGGTAGCTTATATCATATGAATCTGATGTTGAAGAGCCATAACACAAGCTTGATAAGACAAATGCGATGAATGTCCATCTAGCAACAATAATAATGGTCGAGGCAATGCTGGCGTATTTGGTATGAAACATTTTTTCATCCACTGAATAAACGTGTCTTCATTAATCCAGCCCGATTTATTAGCACCATAACAAGTGCCTTTAACTGAACCAGTGCACCAATGACTTCTTAACGTTTTGGCTTTAAAAATTATTAATGAAGGAAGCACTTGACCTCCAGCACTTATACAAAATAATACTGTTGTATTTTGTTTCGCAGTGCCGTCATGAATCCTATAGGCAGGATGTCGTTTACTGTTTCGCACAATAACACGTTTTTTGCTGGAATTGTCAAGGAATCCTAGATAAATAATAAATCATTGTAAAGAACCAGTTCTAAGTTCAGTTGCAACGTACCAGTCTAGTTCATGTTGAATACTTGAGACGATCGATCACGTATATCTAATTTTTCAAGCACGTCACCATAATTTTTGAACCAGACATTCACTCGATCTTCTGTTAAAGCTACAGCGCGACTTTTTTCTAACAAAGTGCTTAATCTTTGTTTTAGTTCATTACTCCAACGTTTTAGGAATAATCGTAACCATTCTATTCCTGGATAACCAGTCCGAAATTTTGAACACAAACCAGCTTCACGTATAAACTTTGTCGTTAAATCTATGGTTTCTCTACGTGTACGAGGAAAACCCCAGTCATCAAACGTTGCCAGCATTTTCACAATCAAGGCTTCTTGATCGTTGCTCTTGTTACCCGGAGCATCATGATAATATGGTACAAATGCTACTAATTCACTTTGCAATTTCGTCACTGCATTCCCGTGATTTCAAATAGCTCTTTGAAGCTGAGATATTATATCAATACAGTACTAGTTCTTTACAGGAAGATCTGCTTTTTGTTGTTAGCAAAGAATCTATAATTATTTAAACTTTGTGATTACCTGATTTTTAAAAGTCTCAGATAATAGAAAAAAAACATCATTCATCAGTCTAGAAGGAGAAAAAGCCTTCCCATGAATAATTTGGATCTTGTAAATAAAATGATTGTGCGAGATCATGTAAAAATAATGTATCTGCATGTGAATCAAGTCTGATAAATGTCGGTTGCGATTTTGTAAATGTAAAATCTAGAAAAGCATAGGATCGTCTGCAGAACTGATAAATAATGTTTATGATCTGTGACAACAATCGTTTCGGGGTTCGATAACGTTAGCATAATGCGAATGATATTGACATTTGAAGTAGCTGAGACGTATATATGACGACTTTGTTCAAGTAGAAAAAATGTTTTCGAGAAATAGCTAAATTGCTAAATCTAACTTTGGGAAATATATTGTAATGGAGTATAAACAATATCAGCAATACTGTCAAAATGATCAAAATAGCACGTGTTATGAGCAATAATATAATAAACATTAGCCTAAGCCAAACCGTTTGGCTCGGTAACATAAAATAAATGATAGCATAATGAAAATGTCAAGATAACTTCAGAACTGGAAGCGCCTACTCTACAAACTTAGAAGATAAATTTATCAGCAAATTCCTTGCTTAAAAGTAGTAAGAAGTAAGAAGTTAAAACGAAAGACAGACAACTACAGAAGAAAAAATATGTCACTGTGGTCTCTTTGAGACTGGGTGTACTTCGCATCTATTGATAAAAGAACTAATGGATCGTTTTATACGAGTGGATAGGTACAGTTCATCACATAGACAACGAAAATGGAATAGTTCTGTTCATATGAAAACTACCTACTTTTTCCACGCATCGATTTAAGCAGCGGGAATGCGATATTCGGATTCAGCATGTCGAGAAACCCTTTTCACCTAAGTTTCGTCTTGAAGGCAGATAAAAAGTTGTTGTCGAAATTTTTGCCTGAGGTTCCCCTCAGGTGTTTTGCCTAAAATTTAGGACGAAAACTTTTTTTTTCAAAACGCGTTGAATTATATAGCATTCGATGCAGTTTTTTTCGTCGAAACATATCTATAGAATCTAGTGAAAACTTATATTAAGTGAAATAATCCGTTTTTACCGCTTTTTGAACAAAATTAAAAAGTTCATAACTCAGTCAAGATCCATCCAAATTATGTCAGAATATCAAGATGTGCTTTGTTTTATCTGCTCCATACGACTTTTTACTTGAGAATAGTAAAAAACATTCTTGTACTTTGGGAGATTTCTAGTGAAAACGTTCTCAAAAACCGAAGTATTTTATGTTTATTTAAAGCTTTTATTGAGCTAGATAGTATTGAGCAGATAGTGTCAGTGCACATTTCGTCGTAATTTTTGAATTTCTCAGGAACGGTATGAGATTTTGCGCTAATTTTCTTGTGATATTGAAAAAGGATAAAAGCTTCAGAGCAAACGGATTTATTTTGCAGAAATTATGGGAGAAACAAAAGTGAACTTGTCAGTGCACAAATCGTGTAAAAATCGAATTTTTCTTTAAATGGTTGTTCCGCCCTGCGCTAACCGATAAAACTAGAGAAATTTTCTTTTTACCAAATTGTTATGCTTAGACTAGTCGATCTTTTGCCTCTAGACCGACCTTTTTAGCATAAACAGTTACTGAGATAAATTAACGTTTATGTCAGTGCATAGAAAAACCGAAAAGTGTCTATTATCACGATATTTCTAGTATTTCGTTTGATTTATATGCCAAGGACATATTTGAATAGCGCATATCAAATCATATATTTTTTAATGCATACATTAATATTGAGAAGTGTATATTGATTGTTAATATTTTCGATAAGCTGGAAATGTTCTTTCAAAGGGAAAATGATCAACAGATATATTAAAGATACTAATGTATCAGTGGCATCAGCCGTTAATCTCCTATTTATTCTTCACTATAAACAAAAGAATAAAAGAAATACTTCATATCATTTTTTTAACACAGTAGCTTAGAGACGAACGTTGATAAAAGATATAATGGGCTGGATAGTAAAGGAACGACACGACACGTATTTAGATTTGCAAAACTGATCACTGTAAAGCAGATAGATACTTATCCGTATGACTTGTAAGAGATTCGTATGATATCATGCAAAAAGAATTTTTTCTTGCCTTTCTATTGTGATAATATATTGAGTTAGATGTCTAAAGAGCACAAAGGGGCACCCGAGTTCATACAACTTATACTGATAAAATTTTCAAGATTAGTAGAAAGAATTCAAGAATTAGCATCGAGCTTTTTCCCAGTTTCTGAGATTTTAGAAATTCAGAATTAGTTATTCTACGAATTTAGAATTAGCATCAAGTATTCAGAAACAAAAATCAAGCTTTTTCTTGATTCAATGAATTCAAGAATTCAGAAATTGAATTCATCTGTTTCCAATTCGAAAAAGATTCAAGAATTCAGAGATAACTATCAAGGATTTTTCTTAATTCAAGAATTCAGAAATTGAGCTAGACTTTTGAGTATTTTCAGTTGAAAGAATACAAAAATTGAAAATGTGACTTTTCTAAATTTCTTGAATTCGAAAAAGCCAAAATTCTTTGAATTTGTATCGAATCGGTCTGAACAATTCTTGGAATTCCAGTATTCAGGAATTGAAAGAATATATAAGTTTTAATTCAGAGACCAACAAATAGGAAATCTCTTTGTAACCATAGTCCGGTGCACTCCACCAAACACCGCGGTGTGGAGTAGAGTGGGCCGATGAGCGTGAGCCGCTACCCACCATTGAATCATACGCCACAGTCCACTCTGATGTCCGCAATTCGTCGATTTATGACTATTCTGAATATGTGGGTTCAAACCGATTCCACACAAATTCACAGAATTTTTGATCTTTTCGACAAGAATTCAAGAAATTCAAAAAAAAATAAAAGAAGAAAAGTCGGAAATGTGATTTTTCACATAAAAAGTCACATTTCCGACTTTTCAGTTATTGTACTCTTTCGCCTGAAAAAACTAAAAGGTGTCTGTCAATTCCTGAATTATTGAATCTTTCTGAAATTGGTAACAGATGAATTCAGTTTATGAATTTCTGAATTCTTTGAATTTAGAAAAATCCTTGATGGTTATTTCTGAATTCCTGAACTGTTTAATTAAGGAAAAGCTTTGATTTTTATTTCTGAATACTTGATGCTAATTCTGAATTCGTGGAAATTAAATTATTTTTGACAGAGTTGTTTAGTGTGTGTATATTGTGATATTGAAGTCCATGAAATGTAGGGATTTCTGAAATTTATGTCACTATCGGTAGTTGACGTAGAGTGCCTCGGGGTAATTTCGGTCAATGTCAGAAATCTTTTCAGTATTTTGCTCATAGCTAAGTCATTTTTAACCAGAGAAAAACGGTTTTGCACAGGTAGATAGATCTGACTCTTAGCTATCGACTGATGCAAAAATCATGTTAAAATTCATTAGAGATAATTAGTTCTGATCAATTTCCAGTCGGCTGGTATTAAATGACCGGAATTACCCCATTTGGGGTAATTCCGGTCAG